CCTGACCTGTATTTTTCCCTTTTTTTGCCCCCTCACAGGGTGGAGAGATTTCTTAAGCAAGCCATCTCTTCCTGAGCTGCTTTTCTTTGCACTGCCTTGCTTCCCTAAAAAATGCTAAGGGCAAGTTAACAAGCTCAGCTCTGTGACCTTGATTAGTTGATTAGAACCCTCCCACCTGCTAACAGCTGCTGTCTGAAACTGATCAGATCTTAATCAATTTCACACTGAAGGCTTTTGTTGTGGTAAATGCAGGCACTGGTCAGAAAATGAATTTTTAATTACTGTTTATTACTGTTGTATTTGTAAATGGTTGCTATCTAAGGCTAAATGAGGACTATCTGTACACTAAAAAGCCACTGCTTGTGCAGTCCCTAAAGTGTGACCTTATGAAACAGTAATGCCATCTCACCTGTGCCCATATACCATTTTTGAAACTAAAGGTATATTTGCTTGTTAGTATGTATTGGGTAGTGATAGATGACAACAGCCAAGGACAAATAAAAATTCCACTGAACTAGTATGTATTCTTTGTGTGTGCATAAGAATCAACACCATGTACTAGATATGCCTAAACCTAACTTCCCTGATGTTACACAATGTTTCCATAAATAGAAATTAGAAATGGGACATGGTAAATATCAGAAGGGCTTACCATCATTATCCTGATTAGGATTGGGCACATCCTTCAGAATGGTGAAGATTTCATCATTACTTGCTTTATTTTTAATGGCAATATTTAAACAGAGTGCAACATTGTAGCCAGGAAGAGATTCTACAAAAATAGAAGCAAAGTTACCATCTTTGAAAATTGGACACTTTTTTTACACGAAGTTTAATAGTAAAAGCACATTACTAAGCAGATAGTCCTCGTTTAGCGACTGCCTCGTTTAGCGACCGTTCACAGTTACGAAGGTGATGGAAAAGTAACTTTACGACCAATCCTCGCGTTGACGACCTTTGTGGGTCTGTAAAGCAAAGGAAAGCTGAAGTAAGATCGTAAGCACAGTCGCAGTTTCACTTAGCGACTGCCTCGCTTAACAACCAAGTTGCCAGTCCCAATTGTGGTCGCTAAACGAGGAATACCTGAAAATACCTTTCCAAAATCAAACAACTCAGAAAAATACAGGACCAGAAATAAAAGCTTGCATGCAACATAGTAGAGGGTTTTACATATCTTGAGGAACGTTTCAGAAGAGAAGAGGCCACGTCTTTAAGCAATGTCCCCTTATGTCATCTTTCCCACTAGGGCTCTGGATGGGTCCTTGGGTGACATCATGTTCCTCACACCTGCACATGGCTATAGCTAGATGGATTTACTATTGCCTCCACCCCATCCCCCCAGGTTAATAGAGCTGTCTGCCTCCAACAGTAACCAATGCTTTCTTGTCATACAGTCCAACTATTGTTTAAAGTGTAAATTATGTAAGTATCCTCTACATACTGTTGCTTTCATCTCCATATTTATAAATACATGTTGGATTTGCAGGAGTCAGGACTGAAAAACTAGCAGGAACAATATCTATTATTCGCTGATGGTAGGAAAGCCTGAAAAAAGAAAAGAAAAAAGAAAGAAGATTTTGCTGAAGGTGGTTCTTGACATGACGTAGGGCTACAGACATACCCAACCAATCATTCATAACTTGGTATTCAGTAAAAGGTACACACAGTGGTAAAGCACCCCAAAGCCGATGCCTATACCCTGAACCTGACCTTTCAAAGTTCCTCGTAAGAACAAGGGCTGTGCCTGTGCTATAATTTGACATTATAATTCTTGTAATTGCCCAGTACTGGGTCATTGGCTTCAATGATGGCCACAGCTTTTTGGCTGCCCTTTCTTTCTGTAAAGTCAGCACAAAAGTCACTAACAAGTTCCACTGATCAATCTGCCATCAACAAATTACACTGACTTGTGAAGATCAGGAATTAATCCCGGTCTCCTCCATACCTCTCTGGTAAACTCCCCTGAGAGTGCAGAAATATTGGCTGAGTTGCTAGCTGCTGTGCTATGGCTGGCTGAGGCAAATCATGGCCTAAATACTGGGTTAGTTGTATCGTGGTATTCTGCAGATTAGTTCATTGCAAATCCACTTGGTGGTGGTGTTCCCACAATGCTGCAGATAGTGGGTGCCCTGAGAGTGGGATGCCATTACTATAATCTTAAGTAAGATTTTCTGTGTCGCTTTATAAAGAGTAGGAGGTTTTCAAGATCAGCCCTTTGAGTTAAACCAGGTCAGGAAACCAACTCCACAAGTGTGATTGGAACTATACTTCATTGATATAGGCTAGAATAGCAAAAACCTGACTGTGTTTTCTCTTATATCCCAGTGAATTAGGGTATTACTAGTCTGAGCGTTTTTCTCAGACTTTCTCAGTTTCCTGGGTTTAACACATGCTTTTCCTTTCATAACCATTTCAGTATATGTTCTCCAAAATCATAGCTGCAGCTCTTGAACGGCTGACACATGCACATTTTAAAAATTTTATATTTGTGTCAGATAATGTCAAAAAATGTTTAACTGGCTTTGGCCAATTCAGGAGAAGCATAAAAATAAGATGAATGCAGTGGAAATGGGTTGCTTAAGAAGTGTGTATCTGGCAAAACAAGAAGAAATAGGGTCACAAATGGCTGGATGCTGAATGAATGTAGATGGAGCACAAAGTAGGATGAATACAAAACTGCCAATTACAAAAGAAGTATATTGAGAAAGTTTGAACATGGAGAGAGAATGAATGAGGACTGAATTGCAAAAGAAACATAGAAAAGTAAATGTGTCAACAGAAACGGGAAGACTGAGAAATCGCAGTTGGATGAGAGAGGGGACGAGCTGACACATCAAAAGTGGTCTCTGGTATTGTTGATGTAAACAGGTTTAGGAACCTTTCCTCTTCTTTTTATTTCCCCATGTCTTTTGCTTGCTCTTTTTTACTCTTTTTCGGTTCTTGCTTAACAATGCTTAGCCTGGATGGAAAGAGCATGATGGGTGGCATGTATACAAGTTCTGCTATCTCTCACTCACCTCATGCATTTTTCCAGTACTTCTCTTACAAACTTAGGTCTAGGTTTGTCAAGATCCTCAGAAAGACAATCTGACCTGAAAAAAAGATGGTGTTAAACACATTGTTATGATAATACAGGGCAACTAGGTAGCTTTCATGTTCATCAAGACAGTTCTCTAGATTTTTATAGCATCAGTTTCTAGGATACTAAGGAAATATAGGACTGAAGTTTGACTTATAATAAACAATAATTGCTTTTAAAAAGGTGACCTCAACTATTTAAAGAGGTCAGAAAATGTATCAACTTTGTCATGAGACTATTCTGCAGAATTTTTCATCACAGGATATCAGTATTCACTCTGTCTGTCAGCCTATCTGTCTATTTTCTATTCATGCATCAATTCATCCAACCACCTATCCATCTACGTATCTGTTCACTATGTGCCAAAATATTCCACAACAGTTTACAATACAAACAGCAATCAAATATGTAAAAGCAATCTATTGAAATAATATAAAACTACACTAAATCAAGCATTCATTAAAAAGGTCATAGGAGAGAAAGAAAATAATATTCTCCATTTATACAGGAAAAGCCTGAGTAAAGAGGTGAATTTCCAACACTTGCCTAAAATAGCACACCCTGGAGAATGGAGGCCACTACACAGAAGGCCACCCATGAACGGCTGCCAATGGCATTATGCAGCCCTCAACACATGTAGTAGGACCTCCCTGATGATCTCAGTGACCAACCACATAGAGACTTACCTCGTTCTACAACAGTGGAGGCAATTGTACAGTATTCTGGTCCCAAATTGCTCAGGGCCTTGGAGGTCCTAACCACAGCCTGTCACAGAAGCTAACTGGGACCAGTGCAGCTTCAGCAAAGCAGTAAGATGCGCATGATCAGATGCCCCATACGGCATTCTGTCAGCTGCCTTTAGACCAACGGGGGCAACCGGATCAAGTGCAAGGGTAGCCCCACATGGAGCGCATTAGACTAATTTAAACATGAGGGTCCCAGTGCCATGAACATCTATAGCTAGTCGAACATGGTGAATTCCTGGGCTTTTCCAACCCCATACTTGAGAGCATTACTGGCAGCCCAGTCAGCGAGAAAGCTGGGCAGCAGGGGTAGTTAGGAAGACATGGTCTGTCTTACTACGTAGCGCCAAGGAAACAGCCTCATAGCCTGCCCGAGATGGTCTTCCTTTGGGTCAAAGGAAGGCTCAGCTCCAGGGCTTGGCTTGATGCTGAAGGCAATGAGGTTAGCTCAGCTAAGTCCGCACCATCCAGCACAGCCACCCATTTCTCCATAGTACAAGCCAGGTTGGCTCTTTCATCCAGGGATTAATGAGGTCTTAGTGTGAATTGAAAGGGCATATAGCACTGATATCACGAGGGAGAGAACATCAGAAGCCATGTCATCCAGGAAAATGCTCAAGTGTTTTAGAGACTTGCGGAGTGCTGCTATGTAAGCAATGCAGAATGCTCCAAAACACACTTTTGTGTTTGAATCTGGGGCGCTGCACAGTCTTAACAAACATAACCCAAGCCAATTAGATAGCTGCCAGAAATGAAAATTTACACACACACACACACACATATGTGCATACACGTATATACAGAATCAAACACTTACCAATCTTCCCAACTCCAACGGAACTCAAAATTACTAAGATGGTGGGAGAACCAATTAATAAACCTTGATGGGGGAAAAAAATCTGTAAATTTTACATATCAAAAACATTGTATTTTGGAGTGCTATTACCAACAATATATCCAGATAGATAGAAAAACTGATTGCCCAGTCTGAGGCGATGTGAAGTCTTAGAAACGGGAGGACAGAGAATGTCCAATCATTTACAGTAACTGAACCTTCTGAAGAGCCATCTCAGAGGTGCTGGCATGCTTTGAAAGGGCTTTGCAAGAGATGCTGTGAAATGTTTGGGACCAGAAAGAGGAGTGGCTGCATTGAAGAGGTGCGGCGCTCAGACCCAGCATATCCCAAAGCACCTTTTTTGAATCATTTTCAAATAATGCACAGCCCTATGTGTCATAATAATCAGGTAGCTCTCTTCTAGACTTTAATATGAATATTCTATTTTTAATCAGCAATCTAACTTTGCAGTCAGCGCTAACGTGTTCATTATGAATGCCATATAAGGAAATTTCAGAAGACTCTAACAGAAGAAATCATTTATTCGATAATTAATAAATGGAAGGAGTGACCTTAAAATATGAAGGCCTATAAAAATAGGGGCATTTATAACTATCAGAGATTTAGTTGGGGTGAAGAAGCCCAAGTCACTAAGTCCTCAGAAAATTTAGATGAGAATGTCGTTACTTACCTATCTACACAGATAGTATTCATTGTATCTAAGCGCATGTACAGCATTTCTGTGCCTTGGGCAAGCTGTTATTTTTCATTTAAGGTTTAAAAATAGTTTACGTTACAATTTTTAACTACAATGTGGTTGAAAACAGAAATTCCTTTTGTTATCAAAAGGTATTAACTGCTACAAGAGACTTTTCGGAAAAAGGATACAACTTGAGGTAAAGATCCAGGCTGAAGTTTACAAAGTTCGATAAAGAGTGTGGTGTACATGACTTCGGTGTGAGGCGGAACAGGAAGCTGAAACAACTCAGCAAAAATTACCTGGGAAAATATGAACGCGATATGAAACATAGACTCGCAATGGGGGAGAATATTTCATTGCCAGAAAACTCCATTTTTGAAATGCCGAATTCCAATCCCACCATGGGCTTTTTAAGTGTACCAGAAACGGTCCAATCTCAAAATGGGTCATTCCAAGATCCATTCTGAGATGAAGAACTATTGGAGGAGAGGAAGAGCACTGGCACTAGAGAGTAAAATAAGCGCAAAGTGTCAGAAAAAGTGATACGATAAATACAGTGTTTACCTCAACAATGTGGTAATTCAGAGGGATCTTGTTGTTTCCTGGATAGCTTGTTAATTGGGCAGCACTACAGAAAAAGACAGGTATGTGATTTAGAATAAAAAGGCCAGGCAGGAAGCAGGCAGGCACCTTACAAAAAAATACTTTTTGTTATATGTGCCAGGACCCACACCTTCAAGGAACTGGGGTTGCCTTCCTCCTGCTTTATCAGCAAGTCTTGGGAATAGTTGCCAAAGACTCTGTGACTATGACTGTCCCTCTTTGGACAGACGGGTGTAGAAACAGATTTGATAGATCTAGATGCCATTAACAAACAGGGAATAAGCTCCTACAGAATTGCTAGTCACAGTACCTGACATGATGTGAAGCTGCATTTTTACAGCATTAATTTAACACACAACAGCAGAGTTTTAAAGAACACTTCTCACTATAGGCAAAACAGACCAATATCTCTTTTCTAGGCTGTTCTCCTCCACAGAAAATTAAAATTTTATATTTTATGGCTACTGGCAGTTCAACTGCCCATTTCATTTTCCAGATAGGCATTTCTTCTCTCTCACTCTCTACCCGACAGGAATGCGACATGGCCACTTATGAATACAGACTTCCTACCATCAGCTTTGCTGGACAAACCTGTAACCAATTTGTGCAAAAATGCTTTTACTGTATTGCAAAATATAATTCAAAATACCTTGAATTACAACAGAATTTTTGTCCAGCATATCCAATCTGATTGGGAATTCTGACAAAGCTTTACCATTATGTATTTTAAAAATGCTTTGTCTGCTTTTCATTAATAATCATCCCAAGGAGGCCATCCAATGGGGAGGCTGAATTAAGTGCACATGGAGGCAAAGAGCCCTACCATGTCTTTCTCTCTTTCCAAAAGGATCTGATGATGCAGTGAAGGTTTTCTTCAATCACAAATCTTTCAACAGAGTGACTCCCAGGCATAACTGGGCCCTGACAAAAGAAATGACAGAGGTTAATTCATCGGTACATCTTCATCCCAAAAGGCACGGTGTGAGCACACCATTGGCACCGTAGCATTTTCCCAACAGTTTTAATACTGTAGTTTGGTTGTGGGGTTTTAATGTTTATAACATACTTTTCAGTATAGAGAAAGTTCAGTTGCCACACTCTGGTTTTTACTGCCATTACAAAAGAGAAGAGAGAAGAGAGAAGAGAGAAGAGAGAAGAGAGAAGAGA